TCCGCCACCCTGTAATCGTCGCCAGAGCCCTCGATAGCGCCCTCCGCTTGCGCTTCGGTCGTGATCTCCTTGGCCTTGAAGGACGTCTGGCGCCACCACAGCTCGCGGTCTGCGGCGGGGGGAGTGGTCGGGCGTCACCGCGGGCCTTCTAGGGGCGCTGTGCTGCGGCAGTGGGTGGGCGCACATTGATCCTTCTTACCGCTCACCGCGATGCCGTCGCCGTCGAAGGACTGGCCGACCAGTCCGTGCGGAGCCACAACCTCGCCGGTAACGGGGTTTGGCTCGAGTGGATCTCGCAGCGGCTTGAACGAGAGGTCAACCTGCTTCTTCCGGGTGGTCGCCGAGCGCTGGATGAACCGCGCGGTTGCATTGACGGCCCAGCCGCCTGTGCGCACGTACAGCACCTCGATGTTGGCGGTCCTTCTCACGGCGATGGTGACGTCCTCCGCGACGAGAGGTGGTTCGCCAGGCAGCACGCGCCGCGTCCCCCCCTCGAGGCCGTGGACGAGCGGAGTGGGTGGCGCGTTTGGCGAGAACTCGACGCGCACAGTGCGACCCGTGGTCGCGGTGACGACTCTGATGAAGAGGTCCGTGACAAAGGTACCCCGCACCTTGAGGTTGGAGGGGGAGGTCAGGAAGAAGGCACACGCCTCAAACAGAGCGTTTACAGCCAGGCCGGTGTGGTGGAGCATTGCGTAGACGGCGCCGTCCTCGCCACGAAAATCAGCCTCTCCGCCGTCTGCGAAGTGCAGGTGCGGGTCGCCAGTGAGGCCGCCCGAAGCGATGGGCGGCGACGCTGGTGCCGGCGAGAAGGGCGGAGGGGCGGGAGGCCTGGGTGGATGCGGCGGGTCAGGTGGTGTTGGTGGTAGTGCAGGCGGTGCGGGTGGCATGGGCAGCGGCGAGGGCGGAGGGGGCGGTGGCGAGCTCGGAGAAGGCGGCGGGAGAAAGGGAGGGGGTGACGGCGGCGGGCTGAATGGCGGTGGCAATGGTGACGCCGGGGGCGGCGAGCGCGGCGATGGTGATGGGAGCGGTGATGGAAGCGATGACAACAAGAGCGGAGCGGAGGGCGGCGGCGGCGCGACCGCGCGCGGCTCGGTGTCCTCGCGTTCGTTGACATCGGGGTCGACCTTGCTGACGGGCTGATTCAGGATATCGCCGGCTTGGGTGGCCGACTTCCCCGCGAACTCATAGCTCGCGTTGCGGACGGCGGCGACAGCGTTGCCATCTCTGAACACGCTCGCCGTGCTAAAAGCAGCCGTTTCCGCAGTCTGGAGTGCCCGACGGGCTGCCGATTGCTCGACGGGCTGGAGTGTCACGGTGAGGCCGCACTCTGGCACGAAGCACTGCTGCGCAGAGCGGAAGGAGGCCTCGAGTTCGGTGACGTCGATGCCGATCACTTCGGTGGAGATCGTGACAACGATGGTGAACTTGATCACGGGCACCTGCTCAACGACAATGCCCTCGGGAAGGGGTGAAAAGGGTGGCTGCGAGGGCGGTGGCGGCGAGGGCGGCGGCGGCGAAGGCGGCGGCGGCGAACGCGGCGGCGACGGTTGAGGTGGTGGCGGCGGCGAGGGCGGGACAGACGGAGGCGGTGGCGGCA